AGACCATGGAAACTAAGATGCAGCAAGCGTTAGATGTGACCGTACAGAGTTCAGAGAGAGATTGGGAAGAAAGCAAGATCTTACATGCAGACTTGAAGAAGTCGTTCACAGAATGGAAAGAAACGGGCCTGTAATGAGAATGTGAGGTACTGGAGCTTGTTTCTGAATGAGCTGTATCCTATCCTGAGAGATCTTACACACTCTATTCGGCAAGCGCGATTGGCATCTTTTCGTTTCAGCTGTGCGGAGGGCATGCCTTTGTCCTTCGGGTTTGGCCGGACAAACTATAGCAGATGGGGTACGCTGTTCCTTGAAGATTGCCTGGACATACAAAGGAAGTTCCGCGGTATCTACAGATGCTTTACAGATGGTGGATGGGTGATGTACCACACTCCCCGACAAGGCAGTGCAGTAGGATTTGACATGGCACTCGAGAAGTGTTACAATAAACCCGCCAAGCGTGGCTGGAGTTATCATTGGATGACTAGACAGAAAGAAGCAGTAGCATTATGGCAATTCCTAAAGCATGAGAAAGATCTTTCATGTGGCACAAGCTGCTGGAATGGTGTAACATTGGGAGACAAAGATGACAGTGAACTGAGCCTACACCATGAGTTCAATCCAAGTTCTACGAAGATTAGCCATGTTCGTGCGAATATGCTTCTGGATTACATAAAATGCATCAACAATCCGTTCGGCGCTGGAATCAGACTTCAAGAACATCTCTGGAGCTGACATACCCAGGAGGTTGTTAACGGATTACTTGAATGCCTGCGAAATTGGTGAGAAGAGTTATCAAGAGTTTGTTGAAACCAATTTCAGGATAAGGAGAAGCACCTACATGATACAATCCCTACAACCGCCAAGACGATGGCAAAAAGGATGCTGCAGAAACGATTAGGTACATTGACTATGCTAGAGAAAGAGGGTACACGCATGCTAGAACTCCTGAAGTATGAATTGACCAGCACATCCCAGTTCCTCACCACTAAATGTAAGATGGCATCAAATTAAAGAAGCCCAATAAAGCCTCCTTAGCCAGGGAACTGTGTCAGTCAACTTCCACAGGAGAAAGAGTGAACGCTCAAATGACAATAGTGGACTTCATGGCACTTGTGTGTAAACTACCGCATAAAAAAGATGGGTCTTCACACATCGGGGAATTGGCTGAGAGTCTTTCCAACAGCATTCTTGCTACAGCCGGCTCCGAGTCCACAAAATAGACATTAATTTTTTATGTTTATCAAAATCATCAATCAAGTGAAAAGGAACGGCCCAGAGAAGTTATTCATAACCAAATCACTATCGCCATTTAGGTCTGACAATCAGAAACTCCCTGTCGATCTTGATATGTTCTGGAGCTCAATGTTAACAAAGTTCGGTTGCAGCGAGTATGTCTTCAAGTGGATGCTGCAGAATGTGCGAGGTCAGCGACAAGGAGATTTCTTTGTGGAGGCAGTAATATGGGCGGCTAAATGGCAGGAAACGATTGTAAGCTGGCCACGAAACACAGGATCGAAGTCTCAACGCAACAAGAAGAAGCCGTCACGGAGCCCAGAATCAATGTTGCCATATTAATGATGGTGTTGGAAACACGGCGTTCAATCAGTCTTGGTTGACTCCACCTGACACAGGATGTCTTGTCACACTCATATTCCACTTCAACAAAACCTGAGCAAACTACAAAAGCTGTAGCTTGAAGCTTAGGGTAATCCGGAAAACACAGAAAACTGTACAGTCCACCTGGTTGGTGTGATCAACTGGACAACGTTTGGGTGTCGCTGTCTTCCCACCATTCATCTGGGCTCAGTCGGTTGCCGACAGTACCAGCAAGCGTGGGTCCAAAGCCTTGTCTGGCCTGAAACTCATGCCATGATCTTCTCCCTACTGCGCAAGGGTTTGGTGTTGAGAAGAACTGTCACCACAGATAACAACAATTTAAAAGTCTTGTGTCCTGGATTAAACAACGACAGACTGTTCCATGAAATCGAATGACTTTCGATGAATATCGATGGAGGCATACCACAACTCAGAAAGGAACTGGACTTCAAGTCCGCTTGTGGTGCTTTCATCAAACGCTATCGAGAACGACATAAAGCGCAGCATAATCTGCCAGCTGTAAGATGTGGTTGCAAGCCCCGAACTGCCTGCCAGGTCACCAAAGCCAATCCACTGCCAGTCATGCGATATGAAGCAACGGATCGTCTGGCATATACGCCAGTGATACTGCCAGTATCGTGGCAGCTGATGACCTGCCCCTCCATGAAATGCCCAACATTCATGTATGAGCTTGACCAAAACGTGCACTTGCAGGAGAATGAAGTAAAATTGAGCACGTTTTGTGGCTGCTAGTAAAGGCCAGAAAAGTGAGCAAATCCAAATTAATGTTGTACGATAACATGCAGAAATCGGTTTTTGCAAATTATCTTAAAAACCACTTCACTTTGGATATGAAATGTATTACTGACCCCCCGCATAATGTGGCTATTTGCGCGACTGTTTGAGTGGTCGGGCAACCTCCTAGGTCCAACCGGTTCTGTAGATAAGCAGTTACGGTGGGACTGGTAGTACGCTTCGCTTAAAAAGGGCCGTTGGCCCAAAAAACAGATATCGCCTGTCAGTGGAAATGTGCTACCAACCAAATAGTTCCTGGACCTTCAATTATGGATATCTATGAAGAGTTTAGGTCTGGACAATAAATTCGCATAACTAAACCACCATCGAGCTACTCAGTACTAAGAAATATGATAAAAAAATTAAATGTAAAAAAAAAAACATTTCATAAAACAAAACAGTTATAATGAAAGTAAATAATAATTACAAGTAGTTTTGTTTTCCTTTAAGTTTCTTAAAATACTTTAATATCATGTAATAATCAGTATCCACTGTATTTTGACTTGTTGTTTGATCGACAAACAACAATTTTTTTATTTTTTTTTTACCCTACCGAGTCAACAACAAACAACAAAATTCTGGTAAAAACAAAATAAATGTAAATGGTGGCCTAAGCATTGTGCGAGGCAGCACGACGTACGAGGTGCATGCTAGCAGGGGCGTGTACAGGGGGGGTGTCCAGGGGGTACGGACCCCCCCTGCTGCGGCAAAACGCCCATCTGAGGGCGTCTAATTTTAAACCCTAACCGCTAACCGGCCAGAAACCCCCCCTTCGGCGTGCTCAGCAAGTTTGGGTTACGGTTAGACCTCCCCTCCCCCCTGCTCCAATCCTGCTACACCGCCCTTGGCTAGCCGCGAATGATTGCGGTCATCGAACGTGGTGTCGATTGTTTATAACACTGCACAGCAACGAAGACGATCGAGGGTTTGGATGGGGCGTGGTCATGTGCCTCGCTTGTCTTTTCTTTCTTTCTCGCTCGCTCGATTTCTCCCGCTTTCTCTCCTCCCCCTCTCACATCTCTCCGCTTCTCCACCTCCCACTCTCCCTCCCCCCTCTCCCGTCGCTCACGCGGCCAGTTTTCTGTTTGTCCCTCAGCGTGTTTGTCGCGCGTGGTCGGCAAAGCGTGACGAGGGTTTGCCTCCCTCGCCCCTCCCGTCGGCTCTCCTCTCCTCCCTCCTCCTCTCGGCTCGTCCCTCCCTCCTCCTCCCCCTCTCTCTCTCCTCCCCCCCTCTCTCTAACCGTTTACCCCGGCGAGGCTTTCTGTTCGTCCTGCAGGCGTGTTTGGCGATGTCGTCGGCGAATGGACGAAGGTTCCTCTCTCTCCCCCCTCCCTCCCCTCCCCCTCTCCGCTCTTTCCCCTCCTCCCTTCCCCCTCTCCCTCTCTCTCTCGCTCACCAGCAGTTTTCTGTTCGTCCTGCAGCGTGTTGTCGCGAGTATCGGCAAAGCGGACGAGATTTGCCGGTCCCTCCGACGAGGCGACGGCGGTGGGCGGTGCTCACACCATGGCGGTGGAACGCCTCGGGGTCAAGGTCACGCTCGCTGAGGCACTGTGTCACGTGACCGAGCAGCGCCTGGTCCTTCCTGTGTGGTAGGCCCACCTTGCCGGACGATATATGGACCTGTCTATAAAGGCCACTTATGACATTTCCCTTTGCAGACAATGACGCCGCTAGTGGAAACCAGATTGTCAGTGGTGGGGTGACGCTCTATGTAAACGGACACCTGTCTATAAGAGACAGTTCTGGCATATTCGTTTGCAGACGACATGAGTGCGCGACACGCTGAGTGTAAACCAGTGTTCAGTGGTGGGTGACCCCTTATACAAACATACGCCTGTCTATAAAGGACAGTTAGTGTTTCCCTTTAAGTGGCAGTTATACACTTAAATTGAATATCGTACGCCGAATTTTTCTATGGTAAATTTGTAAAATTTTGTCTTGCCAATTTTTTTTTACATTAAGACAGTAAGACTAACGCGGGACTGAAAACTATCAGTCAAATTCTTACCTGATAGATTCGTTTCACAACTAGTTTAAAAATCCAAAAAAACCTGGACAATTTGATATTAGTTTCCTGAACACTAATGTTCTATGATGCTGATGTATGAGTCACGAGTGTATGTCACATCGAACATATAGTAAAATAAGAGTTATATATGGCAGGCAATTTAACATTAAAAAAGTGAACAGACTATTACTTATATTTTGTGAAAATGGAAATAGTTTTGTTTTTTTACTATTTACGGTGACCACATTAAACCCACCTGTATAGAACACATACCTGTCTATACAAAATTCAAAAACATTTTCTAAATCTGATGGCTCGAGAGTAAAAACTTGAAAAATGTGAACGAGAGAAATGTCTTACAGATTTCCTTACGATTCCAGAAATCCATAACAACACAATAGAATCTAGACTGTTTAACTACTGCAGTCGCAGGACAAAATAATAGTAATTAGTGTAATAAACACTAAAGCAAAGACAGCAGACTTCACCAGCAGGGCAGCAGCATGATAAAGAAGAGAGCATGCTGACTGTATACATTATGTATTATTGCAGGTGTCTGTACGTGTACCTATGTTTGTGTGTGTGTATTGTAGGTATCAGTGCCGGGTCTCTCTCACGTAGAGGGCGTCGTCGCTGCACTCGTTGATATCCTTCACGCGTTCGTCTCCTGCGACCTTGACAACGCCGCCTTCGTCAGCAAGATCTACGTCCGGCTGCTGCTCTGCGAGGTGTGCCACCTAGAGGCGCGCACGCGCGATTGTTTTTATTATGCGTAGGAAAAAGTGTTGCGCTCGCTCGTGTTCGAACCGACGTGATTTTTGACAGGCGCACGCGATCGGCGCGTGAATCTAATGAAAGTTTTACAAAACGTTTTTGGAATAAATTTTTACCTTGAAATCTTACTAAATAATCTAAGGCATGATTTTATGTAAAATACTGTCATTTCTAGGATTAACCTTATACAGTATCGTACATAGCGTGAAGCTTTTTGCATAGCATTATATCTCACAGCAGAAGTGCGATCAATATAATTTCAAGCAGTATAACATTAATTTATATTAGTTGCACTTGCGATCGCTAGTCACTGCGTCCTAATCGTGTGCTGCCCTCTACAGGACACTGCGGTAAGCTTTGCGGCGAAGCAGGCTCTCATCCGTGTGCTGCGTCCGCGCACACGCCGCCGCCGTGTCTACATCCCGTCACCTCCCAGGTGCTCCACTCCAGGTACGCTCACCTACTGCTAGACATGTGCGCCGACGACCCCGGCACGATGTATTCAACGTGACATGTCGTGTTTACGCCAATGAATTTAACGTCATTTTAAATAATTTCGCACATTTGAACGTATTTACACACTTATGGTACTTGCATTTACTTATCGTGCTTTACTGCATTTAATGAATCATCTAATGTAATTTAAAATGCGCATAACTGCATTTGCGTAAAATTTACTTTATTATTTCGCGTTACTTTATGTTACGTCGTGTGTAAAAATTACATGAACGTACTTCGATGATAAATCGTTACGTTTCTAAACCTTTGGCACACGTGCTCCCACTCCGCCTCCGTCGCCACGACGACGGCGTGTTGCCATAACGCGTGCGCTGCATTTTTACAGGACCCGTGCAGGAAGAAGACAAGCGAGATGACTCCGCCCCCGCCCCCGCGCCCGCACCAGCGGCGGCGGCGGCAGCAGCAGCCCCCGCAGCGGCGGACCCGGCAGCGCAGTTCGTCGCCGACATGGAGGTGGACGTCGACGAGGACGAGGCGGCACAGCAGAGCCCCCTGGAGGCGCTGCTGGTCGGCAACGGCAACTACCCGGTGATGCTGGACCTGCCGGGCGACGACGAGGCGATGGTGGAGCTAGCCATCGCTCTCAGCCTGCAGGACCAGGTGACCTCACGCTGACCTCCTGCTGACCTCATGTCGACCTCATATTGATTTCATGCTGATCTCGTATTGACCTCATGTCAACCTCATATTGATTTCACACTGACCTCCTGCTGACCTCATGTCAACCTCATTGATTTCATGCTGATCTCGTATTGACCTCATGTCAACCTCGAGCTGTCCTTATTGTGAATTTGTGCTGACCTCATAATGACCTCATGCTGACCTCACGCTGACCTCGTGTCCCCCCACAGGCCGGTCAGCAGGCAGGCGCGGAGTCGCTGTCCCTCTCCTCGCAATCGCAGGCGAGCGGTCACTTGTCCGAGGGCGGCCATTATTCGGACACGACGGCGTCGGCGGCCGGCAGCGACGACGACGAGGGCAGCACCGCAGCGACGGACGGCTCGACGCTGCGCACGTCGCCCGCGGAGCAGGCAGGCAGTCAGAGCTCTGAGAGCGAGCACAGCAACATAGACTCCGTAGAACAGAACGGTACGCGAGGGTGGGAGGTTGGGAGGGAGGGAGGGAGGGAGGGAGCGAGGGAGGGAGGGAGCAAGCAGGCAGCCAGAGCTCTGAGAGCGAGCACAGCAACATAGACTCCATAGAACAGAACGGTACGCAAGGGAGGGAGGGAGGGAGGGAGGGAG